TCTCCATTAAGGTCAGTATTTAAGTCATCAGGATAAGCCTGCACTGATTCAGTTGTAACTTCAGGCGTTTTTCATCAGGTATAGCCATTGTTTAAGAAGGAAAATCTACTTGAAACAAATTCATATTCTTTTGCCTTTCTTTTCATGCCAGATTCAAGTGTGTCAACAAGGCTACAGTATGTAGAAATTCATCTCTGGCACTAGATGCTACTTCCACACCATGCATTTCCTTAATTTCCTTATTGCTTTCTAATACGTCTACGACAGTGGACAGTGAACTGCTTGATACTTGTAATGTTTTCAAGTTTTAAAAAATCTTGTCTTAAATTATGTAAATGCTCTGTTAATGACTGAGAGATGTGTGTATGTCTTTAAATTCACTTCTGAATTTTGGGAAGCTTGACTTGTCTGATGAAAATGCTGCATAAATATACACATTTTAAATATACACTTCAGTGTTGGCATTTCATTAGCAATATTTGCAGCTTCTCTTATCTCTGTTTTGTGTCTGATGTTCAGAAAGACTTTGTAAGGCATGCAGAATCTGAGTGTGCAGTTGCAGGATTGCACTCATTGCTACAGCATGCATTTCCCAACACATACTAGAAAGGCATTTTAAAACTCACCCATTGCTGAAATGTGTTTTAAGAACTGCCCGTAATTGATTTGTTGTTGTTGTTGTTGTTGTTAGGTGTCATGTTGTTAGGTTCCAACTCATAAGTGATCTTATGCACCACAGAGTAAAATGCCTGATCCTGCATCATACTCACAATTGTTATGCTGGAGCCCACTGCTGCTGCCGACTCTCACTGCTAGGGGTCTCCCTCTTTTTTGCTGACCCTCTTTACCAAGCATGAAGTCCTTCTCCAGGGACTGGTCCCTCCTGATAGCATGTCTGAAATACGCGAGGCTAAGTTTTACCATTCTGGCTTCCTAGGAGCATTCTGGCTGTACTGATTCCTTTGTTCTTCTGGCAGTCCATGGTACTGTCAATATTTTTCTCCAACACCATAACTTAAATGCATCAATTCTTGTAAGGTCTTCCTTATTCATTGTCCAACTTTCATATGTATATGAGGCTACTGAAAGTATCATGACTTGGGTCAGGCACACTTTATTTATTTATTTTCTCCATTTGCCATGAAGTTATTTATTAGTTCAGCTGTGAATATTTTCATTTTCTTTCTTTATTATTTTTTTTTTCTTAAATGTTTTATTGTGAATTATGTGAAAGTTTACATGGGAGAATCTTGGTTTTACAGTCATTCTATTGTATATCATCTCATTGCCATGGTTACAATCCCCTCCATGCAATCCTTCCCCCGTACCCCCCAGGTCTTCAGCACACAGTTGCTCTCCATCTCTGGATCTAAAGTCTCCAGCTGCTCCATCGCTCCACGTCATCATCTCTGGCTCCATTTCAGGCATCACTGCTTCTCTGGGTAGGGTCCCACTCTCTGCTCTTCTCCCTTGGGACCTCCGCTCCTTCCGCTCCTAGACTGAAAAGTTAATCACTCCCCTCCTTGCTATAAAACATTTCCAACCCTCACAATCAGTCCTGATAACAATTATTCCCTATTGGATCACAAGAAACCCGGCTGCATTTCATTGCATCAGCCCCACCTAGTCAGATTGAAAACCACTCACTGGCGATTCTACCTTCCCCCAGGCACTCTGGATCTAGGTTCCCTCTTGAAAGTTTGTAAGCCAGTCACTTCTTGCCTTTGTGGCCTCCCACCCCCCATTTTGGGTAGCCAATGTCCAAGTTGCCCATCCCTGTCTACTCTGTGTGTGGAGAGGGTGGGAATGATTCTTGCTGTAAGGATTTGTTCCCTCTTTTGAGCTACTGCTTCCATAGGTGTAGGTCAAGTTCATCAAATTGTATGAGAATACTTTTTTTTTTTTTTTCCCCTCTTCTTTTTACTTTTGGTTGTGCTCTGATGATCCAGTCACTGAAGCCAGGATAAATGGGTATTATCTGCAAGTGTGGGTGTTCTTATGCATATGCCCTCTCTTCTTATCAGCTGGACACTTCACTCTCCACTCTAGTCCTCTGTGGCTATGTCACTGACTCTGGGCCCAAGAGTCCCCAGGTCTTGCCACACTGCTGGCCAACCAGGTCTTCACTCGGGTTCACAGAAGTCTATTGAATGTTGTAGGGCTTAGCTCACCACTTCATTGCTTAACAGCTTCATTGCTGTTAAGCTCACTTCCCCTTATCTGTGTCGAGCGTGGTCACCAATCCCAGCGTGTATTCCCAGAGTCTTAGTCTTGGAAGGGGGTTTGCACTCAGGGGACCCGACCACTTGTCAGGCACACTTTAGTCCTCAAGCTGAAATCTTTGCTCTTGAACACTAAAGAGTTCTTCTGAAGCTTACTTACCTAATGCAACACCTCGTTTTCCTTGACTGATGCTTCCTGAGTGTTGATCCACGTAAAAAGAAGGATTTGACAACTTCAATTTTATCTTCATTCATCATTATGTTATTTTATTGGCCCAGCTGTGAGGATTTTTGTTGAGTTGTTGTTGTTATGTGTCGTGGAGTAGAGGTGACAGAGAAACTGAACAGTAGAAGAAGAAGAAAAAAAAAAAAAAATCAACTGCTTCCAAACAACAAACTCCTTCCATATACTATGTCCCACAAGATTAATTATGAAAATGACATATTCTCACATTTAAAATTTTTCTGTTGCATGCTTTTATAACGCCCTGATACTGTCAGCATTGTCATAGAACCTGCACCTGTGCTTAGAAAAATGATTGCAAGTTCCACATTAATAGAAGTATTGGATTTGCAATTTCTTCCCTGGTATGACTTAAGCTAGTAAATGTGATTAACTGCTAGGAAAGTGTTCCATCTACTAGAGATATATATCTTCAAACAATACGTAGCTGATCTGTACAACAAAGATCAGGAGTGGAATTTACAGATGAACTTTCATAATAGATAATATTTCACTTAAAGTGGCTGACTGAACAGTGTTACTTTACTTTTGTTGCGTGCCATCAAATTGGTTCAGACTCACAGCAACCGCTTTATGGGGCTCTCCAAGGAATGGCTGGGAGGGTTGAGCCCAGTTAGTGAGTTTATTGGTTTTCCACCCATTTTTTTAGACATATACGATGTGTTGCCCTTTCCTGTGTTACTGTATTTTGAGATGTGACCTGTAAAAATGGGTCACACGAGCTACAAGTAAATTCCAAACTTTTCCATTTTGTGGGAATCCAAACACTTCTTTCTTGACAAGGTAGTCCATTCCCATGTATTGTTAAACTGACAACAACAACATACTGCAAAACAACTTTTTAGTACTGATGGACTTCATTAATTTGTGTTTCCTGCTCATGAGGTAAGCCAACACTGTCTCTTTGATTTAATATGAAAACATTCCATCTCTGTGAATTGAACTGTTCTTCTGTTTACTAATCAATTCAAGTTGGACCAATCATTGAATCCATCCATAACATATGATCAAAAAACAATGGTACTGAAGAAATCATGTTACATTGAAGTCACTGGCAAAATCCAAGGCTCTAAAAATTGAAGGAATACAAATGGAAATGTTTCCACAAACTGATGCAATACCGGAGGCACTCACTAGTCTATGCCATGACATCTGGAAAGGCGCTCCCTGTTATTTACTGGTTATAATTTACTACTTATTATTTACTACTGAGTATTTATTGGTCCGGTTGTAAGCATTTTCATTTCCTTTATATTAAAGTGATTATGATCTTCATTGGTATTTCATCTTCTCTTCATTTCCAGAAAGTATGTTTGTGTCATCTGCTTATCTCAGGTTGTTATGGAGCTTTCCTCCAATCCTAATGCGAAATTCTTTTTCATATAGTCCAGCTTCTCTGATTATTTGCTCAGCATACAGATTGAATAAGTATGGTGAAAGAATACAACTCTGGCACACACTTTACTGATTTTAAACCATTCAGTATCCTCTTGTTCTGTTCAAATGACTGCCTCTTGGTCTATGTACATGTTCCACAAGGGCAAACGTAAGTGTTCTAGAATACCCATTCTTCAAAATGTTATCCAAGAGACTAACTAAATGGATTCATAACCAATATTCAATCCAAAGAAGACAGAAAAATAGGGAAAAAGAATTTAAAAGCAGATGGAACAAATAAGATGAGAAGTATAAACATATTTTATCCTATCAATAATCATATTCAACATAAATGGTCTAAACACCCAGTTAAAAAGTACAAATTGTCAAGAGTGGTTTCAAAGTAAGATCCAACAATACTGAACCTATAAGAAATCCTTTGGAGTCCTGGGATGGTGATGCAAGTTAATGTGCTGGACCGCAGTGTCGGTTTGAACTGCAAGGTTGGTGGTTCAAACCCATCAGGAGCTCCTCAGAAACCCTACACAGGGTTGCTGTGAGTTGGAACCGACTCAACGGCACTTAATGACGACAAGAAAACCTTCAATAGATGAATATTAATTAAAGAAGGCTGGGAAATAGACAAAATCCATTTGTATATGCACTCCTAATCAATCTGATCAGAAATGATGAGAGTTTCCATGATCAATCACATTTACTATTATCTTGAAAGAAATCTGTGGCACTGTGAGTTAATGCACCAGACTGCAAAGCCGTTTGAACTACAAGATCACTAGTTGCTCCTCAGAAACCCCATACAGGGTCGCTATGGGTTGGAACTGACTCGATGGTACTTAATAACAACAACAACATGGCCAGTACAAATCATAGAACGTATTTCCAGAGATCTCAAAATACCATACCCTACAGGTGCAATTCACTTTGCCACTTGTTTTAAAATTCTGAAGGAGGTTAACCTTGGCTTCTAGTTTTATATGCTGAAGGCAGAAAGGCAAAGCATTTCCAGAAGTCACACACTGTTTGGAGTTACCCAGGGGGTTCAGATCTACCTCTGGCTAATGCAGACCAGAGAACCCTGAAAAGCAATCTTTTGGGGGTTAAGTCCACATCTCTGAACCAAGGGCCATCCCTCTTACCTGAGTCTAGGTGGGTTGTTTTAACTCTCTTCAATTTTCCAAGAGGTTTATACTTAGGCTCAGTGCTTTGGGAAGATCGGCATAAAGGCTTTAAGCTGAAATAAATAAGAATTATCTCCTTTTGCTTTTTGACAATGCCATTGAAAGACATTGTTTATCACAAAAACTTGGCGACGAGGAAATCACAGTTACTTTTAAGAACTGAAAAGCAATGTTTAAAAGCTAAAAATTGTAACAGTATGATGAAATGGTGAATTTTAAATATAAGCACTTAAATACAGTCTGGTGGATATTTTCATCAGATTCTAGCAAAACTTAGATCTTTGCTCTTGCAATGGGGAAAATCAGATCCCTCTTCTGAACAACTACTGTGACACCTTGTGGCCTTCAGGGAGCAAGCTGCTTCCCTTTCCCTGCTTAATGGTGTTTTCTTATATGTTCAGGAATCTCGTAAATATTATCTCTTTCTAGATGCCCACTGGCTGAAAGCTAAGACCCATTGGAGATAATATACAAAAGTACATAGAAACAAGACTTGAGCAGGTCCTAGCCCTTTTCAAGGGACTTACTACCTATTTCCTTGTTCCAGATACCCAGAAGCCTGTCAATACAAAAAAACAAAAAACCAAGCCAATTCCAACTCTTGGCAACCTCATGTGTGCAGAGTAGAATTGTTCCACAGAATTCTTAAGGGTGTGTGTGACTCTTCAGTTCACCAAGTGTGGAGGGCGAGGGGGTTCTGGGTGTCTTTGAACTGCCAACATTTTGGTTAGTAGAGTTTTAACTATTTGCACCTCTTGGGGAACTCCACTCAGAAGTCTTTAAGAGTTATATGTAACATACATAACTTGACCGATAAAAAACATCATGATAAATGGACACAAGTTGAAGTTGTTAACAACTTCATTTTGCTTGGATCCACTATCAACACTCATGGAAGCAGCAGTCCAGAAATGAAACGATGTATTGCATTAGGCAAATCTGCTGCAAAAGACCTCTTTACAATGTTAAAGAACAAAGCTGACAGTTATGAGTAAACTAAGCCATGGTATTTTCAATAGCTTCATAACGAAGATTGTAGAAGAACCGATACATTTGAGTTATGGTGTTGGAGAAGCCAACTGAATGTACCATGGACTGCCAGAAGAGCAAACAAATCTGTGTTGGAAGAAGTAGTGCCTGAATGCTCCTTAGAAGCCAGGATGTAATACCTCATCCCTCATAAATAGGACATGTTATCAGGAGGGACCAGTTCCTGGAGAAGGACATCATGTTTGGTAAAGTCTCCATTCAGTGAAAAAGAGGAAGACCTCCAATCAACGAGATTGGCAGTGACAACAGAAATGGTCTCAAGCATAACAATGATTGTGAGGTTGGCACAGGACCAGGCAGTGTTTCGTTCTGTTATGCAGAGGGTCACTAAGAGTTAGAACCAACTGGGGGTACCTAACAACACAATATACCCAAAGCCCTGGTGTGGTACTGTAGGAAAAGAACTGGACGGCTAACCATAAGGCTGGCTTTTCAAACCCACTAAGCCACTCTCGGAACCACTCTACAAGGCTGCTATGAGTTGGAAATGACTACGCAGCACACAACAAATAATACACCCAAAGAGCCCTAGTGGCACAATGGGTTAACCAAAAAGATTGGCCATTTGTACTCACCAGCCACTCTGGGAGAAAAATTAGGTAGTTGGAGTCAGTAAAGATTTACAGCCTCTCTATGGAGCAGTTATACTCCATCTTACCAGGCCACCAGGAGTGGAAGGCTTTATGTTTATGAGATACCTACTACCAAGGTCCCAAGCTGGAGCTGATTTGTGGTCTCACCTGTCTTACAGCCAGCCAGTGTGTGTTCTTCTGTGGAGACTGTTCTGGGACCTTTCTCCAACTCCAGAACCTGTTCTGCTCAATTGTCACTGCTCGCTACATTTACTTCAACTTTTCTCCTCCTCCCTAACTGACCTACAACAGAACTGCTTATAAAATGCAAATTAGGGTGATTTGCATTTTAACATGCACCCAAACTTGAATATATATTCAATGTATATTCAAATTTAGTGCCCTAACACAGATTTGGAGTCCTGATGTAGACTATAAGATAAGCACTGGATTGCTTTTGGTTCAAACCCACCAGTTGCTCCTCAGAAAACTGCTGAGTTGGAACCAACTCGAAGACACTTAACAACAATAACAACACAGACGTAAATCTCAGCTATTTTTAAATCATGCCTCTAGGCTCTGTTGCTACTTTCCAGTCTCTAACTCTTCTTACAGGCAGCATTCTCCATGTTTCCTCACTTTTCACTCATTCCTCAAACAGCTTCTAACTCATAAGCCCACTGAAAACGTTCCACTGAGCGCACACAAGTGATCTCATTACTAAACTGGGGAAACGTTACAATCCCTGTTTTATAGTTGCTCAGGAATTTGACACAGGTGATCTCTATTCTCCCTCCCCTTAGCCTCCATCAGAGGAGCCTGCGGTTGAAGCACTAAGCTACTGAACCCACCAGCAGCTTTGCAGGAAAAAGATACTTCTGTAAAGATTACTGTGTGCATTTGAGTTGGTTTAAAGCTTTGGAAAAGAGAGGGGGGCAGTTCTACTCTGTCCTATAGGGATGCTATGAGTCCGATTCAACTCAAGGACAAAGGGTTTTCAATGGATTTTGCTTCCACCACACTATGATCCTTGCTTTGGTCTATGATTTGGCTCATTCCGTCTCCATGTTTGTTTGTTTTGGGCCCACCTCGGCATTTTAACTGTATGTAGGACAAGGAAGAGATTGCAAAGTCAATGTGAACATCAAAGTGGTGGTTCAAACCCACCAGTCGCTCCTCACAAACCCTATACAGGGTTGCTATGAGTCAGGACTGACTCGATGGCCCTTAACAACAAATACTAGAAAGAGAAGCCCAGGATGTTTCCCTCTTTTGTGTTTTCGTCTTGCTTGAAGTGTTCCATGATGCCGACTGAGTTTGTCGGTACAATGAAACCAAACTTAGGGGACACGAGTATATTATTCTGCCACTTTTCCAGATCTTTTGAGTTGCATGTCAAATCTGACCACTCCACACTTGTTTAACCTGCGTGTGAGGTTCACCATTTCCCCAGCTCTGTGACCATTAATGATTTCAGATTTGCCAATGTAGCCATGCTTCATCATCAGTCAGAAACAAAATGATGACTGGAGTACACAGTCTACTAAGAACCTGGTGTTTGCCTCTCTTCTCAGCATTACTGATGTTCTTGAGAGTGTCAGCCAGGACAACCATCCACACCATTATGGTGGCAAAGAAAAATGGTGGAAAGAGGAAGGAAGGTGGGAGCGCATGGCTTTGTGGGAAGCAGGCAGACTATCCCACTTTATGTCGTCTTATTCCAGCTCCTCTTTCCTTGCTCCGGCCTGAAACATGCTGCCCAGAGTGTGGCATCTGCTCACCTTTCACTCATGCTCTTTAGTGATTTCCTCTGCCCTCAAGTTTTCAGATGTCACCTGTACGGCCAACTCCTCATCTGCATCTCCAACCCAAAGCTCCTGAACTGCAGTTTCCATGTTGATGTTGTTAAGTGCCATCAAGTCAGTTCCAACCCATAGTGACCCTGTATAGGGTTTCCAAGGAGCAGCTGGTGAGTTTGAATCACCGACCTTGCGCTTCAAACCGATTTTGTGGTTGCGTGCTTATTCTCCAAGGGACTTTAAAACCTGGTACCATATGTCTTTATCACAGTCTGTGAAACCAATTCCCTATCGGGCCTGTTTGGCCACACACTTCCCTCATGCACCATATTGTTGTTGTTAGGTGTCACTGAGTCAGTACTGACTCATAGCGACCTATGCACAGCAGAACGAAACACTGCCCAATCCTGGGCCAACCTCACTATTGTTGCCACGCTTGAGCCACTTTGCCAATCCATCTCACTGGGGGTCTTCCACTTTATCTCTGACCCTCCACCTTAACAAACATGATATCCTTCTCCAGCGACTGGTCCCTCTTGACAATATGTCCCAAGTATGAGAGATGAAGTTTGGCCATCCTGGTCTCCAAGGGGCACTCTGGCTGCACTTCTTCCAACACAAATCTGTTGGTTCTTTTGGCAGCCCATGGCACTTTTAATATTCTCTTCCAACACCGTAACTCAGAAGTATCAGTTCTTCTACGATCTTCCTTATTCACTGTCCAGCTTTCGCATGCGTATGAGGTTACTGAAAATACCACGGCCCCATAGCAGCTTGTATACAGTACATCATAGCAGTTTACACCCACCCTCCCCACAAGACTCTTTGAGCTCTGGTAACAACAGAGAACATATCTTAGTCAACTTGGATTTCAGGCACAGTGCCTAACATTGTAGCTGGCACTAGAGAATTGTTTAATGAATGGATAAATGAAACTCAAAGGAGAGGTGAAAAAATGGTAATAGCAAAAGGGACCTATAATCCCTGTTTCATCTCCTCTTTGAATTTCATTTATTCATTCAATCGTTATTATTGTTGTGAAGTGCCTTTAAATGATAGCCTACTATGGGACATGCTCTTTATATATTACCTCCAAATCTCTGAAAAACCCAACACGTACATATGACTATTCCTATTTTGCCAATTAAAAATTACTAGCTAAAAGACACGATCTGCCCTGAACCACACTGTTAGTAAAAGGTAGCGCTAGGATTCAACCCAGAGCAATATAACAATGCTACGTGTACATTCTGCCACACTGTAAACTGAATGAAACATGGAAACAGAAATGAATACAAGTCCAAGAATATCACAACAGAAACAAGTTCTAGATTTGTAAACATTCAGGCAGCACGAGCTCTCCTAACCACGTGTCACAGAGGGAACACAAAGTTCCAGGAGCAGGAAGTACTCACATTTCTACAACTTTATCCACAGTGGCACCGACTGGAATGACATTTGGGTATACGTTCACAGGACAGATGTAACTCATGAAATCTTTAATCTAGAAGAAAATCAATAGATCAATTACCTCGAAGCTGACAAATGTGGGTGTTGGAGAAGCATGTAAAGGGAGGGGGCAACTGAAAGGAATGTAGATAGCAGCAGTGGCCTGCAATGTGGGTGGCACATGGGGTTCACCTGGGGACCCTCTAGAAAAAGAAAGGCCCCATGCCAAGGCCTGACCCCCAAACCCTGCCAACGCTTGATTGACAGTGGGGCCAGGTGATTTTGTTGCACAGTGAGGGCCAAGAATCACGGTCAAATGTGATTCAAATTTGGGTATTGGGTGGGGTTATTTTTTTATTTTTTTTTTTACGTAACATTAGTTTCTTGTTCAAAAATGTCCCAAACTGATGTTTAACAAATCTCCCCTTTCAAGTAGGTTAATTATATTGTAGACAAGAAAACAAGGTCCTAGAATTGTTTTCTTTCTTCCAACAGATAATTGTAAGCAATACAACTGTTTCTTCCAGGTTGCTTGATTTGTTCTAATGGTTTCTTCGAAGCCAAGTGAGGACAATTACATGCAAACAATTCATGGCTGTCTGCAAAGCTCATTATGCCGAACAGAGGCACTGTGCCAATCTCCCTCCTCTCACCTGACATCCGCAAACAAGCTGAGGCCCGTTAGTCAGGTGCTTGCATTAAAGCAATACATTTATATTTAGACTGTTGTTAAATGCCATAGAGTCTGTTCTGACTCATAGTAATCCTGTACAGGGTTTCCAAGGAACGGCTGGTGGGTTTGAACTGCCGACCTTCCAGTTGGCAGTCCAGTACTTATCCTACAGTCTCCTACATTTAGACTGAGAGGGAAGTGAAATTTTAAGGTTTCTAATGGTACTGTGGGTTAATGTGCTAGACTGCAAAATTGGTTTGAACCACAAGGTCAGCAGTTCAAGTTCACCAGTTACTCCTTGGAAACCCTATACAGGTTCACTATGGGTTGGAACTGATTCGACGGCACTCAACAACAACAAATATACTTTCATGTAGTTTTAAAAGGAGCCCTGATAGGAGTTCAAGTCCCTGTGGGCCCAAGCGTTGCTGACCGTCCAAACCAAAGGCTCTGAGGATCAGACTTTAGCCACCTAGCAGACATAGCAAAATGTCCCTTATCTGATTATTCAGTTATGCTGGTTAGTAATTCCATACATGAGCCCTGGATACCCACAGATAATGTAAAACCCTTCCCTAAAAGCCGAGACTGTAAATTCCAAAAAGGCAAAGTTTTTCCCCCCCAAAAAAAAGCTAAAGAAAAGAGGATGATCTGTTAACTGATGGTATGTGGAGGGGATTATAATCAATGTAATGAAACAAGATATATGAATGTTTGAATGTGAAACCGATGATGTGCCCTGAAAACTTTCACTCAATCCACAATAAAAACCTTAAAAAAAAAAAAAAGAACCCCTGATAGCATGTGATTAAGTGCTCAGCTGCTAACAAAAAGATTTGAACCCATCAGCCACAGCATGAGAGAAAGATGTGGCATTTTGTTTCCATAAAAGACTGACAGTTTTGAAAACTCTTAGGGGCAGTTCTACTCTGTCCTGTCTAATAAGGAAATCAACACATTCTCTAAAGAAGATGCAATGCACTGCTATCTTTCTCCCAGGGAGTAGCTGGTGGATGTGAGCAGCCAACCTTGCTGTTACCAGGCCACTGCTTAACCCACTGTATGTACATCAGGGCTCCTTGAGGCCTGCTAATTTCAGCAGTTTTCAGGGAGGCCTCTCTCTCTCTCCCTCACTTCAGACACTGTGAAAGAAATCAACCAATCAGAGCTCAGGAGTCACCACCCTCTGCTTTATGTCTCCAGGTATGGAGCTATAGGATATAGCACTTGACCGCAAGGTAGGTTTGAACCACAAGATTGGCAGTTCAAACTCACCAGCTACTCCTTGGAAACTCTATACAGAGTTGCTATGAAGTCAGAACCAACTCAACGGCACTTAACAACAAGTAACAAAAAATGTCTCATTGCTAGGAGGTGATTTTATAAAATCCTAAGAAGGATCATGCTCCCCTAATTTTTCTAAGTACACTAAGAGAAATACGACAGAAGTAATGTTGATTGGGAGTCTGGCTGGTGCAAACAGTTAATGTGCATGGCTACTAACAGGAAGCTTGTAGGCTTCAGTCCATCCACAGCTGCCTCAGAAGAAAGATTTGGTGATCTACTTCCAAAACATCAGCCACTGAAAACCCTTCAGGGCACAGATCGACTCTGATGTACATGGAGTTGCTTTGAGTCAGTATCAACTTCATGGCAACTGTTGTTAGTAGGATTGAAAAAGTCAAGTCTACCCTTTGTCTAGACTGGATGCCCATTCTGAGGCTGAGAAAGAAAAGACGCTCGGCCACTAAGAGAAAATAAAGCAAGGGGCGCGGATGCAGGGTCACATGTCAAATCAAGGACAAACTGCCAGGAGAGAGTTTTGATAACTAAAGATTCTGAATGAATTGATAAAGAAAACAGTTTTGTTTTGTTTTTTCAAAAACTGTTCTCAGACAACCTATTTATTCATACAAATTAAGCTGTTATTTAATAGAGATGCTATTGTGATATTTTGATAATAGGATACATCATCACTTATATTCTGGATGACTTGATAATCCACCTATTCATTAATACACCCACGACTTACTGCTGAAGTGCTGAATCCATGGACTCCAAATATAAGGATAATGGTGGTCAGGGAAATGGCCCTTTAAGTGCAGAAATAGCAAAACAAAAATTACATGGCACACAGTTTCTAAAGCAGCGTGCTCTTCTTGTGGTGACTTTTTCCCAAGATGTGCTATCACTGAATCTCTACACCTTGAAAATGCATGACAATTCTGCACATAAATTACATATATCAAGTTCTCATTCTCCAAACCGACTGCAAAAAAAGCCCCGACTGCTGACAAGTTGATTCTGAGTCACAGTGACGCTGTACGACAGAGTGAAACTGCCCTATAGGGTTTCCAAGGCTGTCATCCCTTGAGGAAGCAGATGGTCACATCCTTCTGCAGATAAGTTGGTGAGTTTGAATCACTGGCTTTGGTTAGCAGCCGAATGCCTTAACCACTGCACCACCAGGGCACCTCATCCCATGTTGCTGCTGCTGATGCTGCATGCTATAGTCAGTTCTGACTCAGAGCGACCCAATGAGCATAGGGTTTCTGAGTCCATAAACCTATGCGGGAGCAGGAAACCTCATCTTTCAGAGTGGCTGGTGATTTCAGCCCAACACATACTTCACGATGATATCAGAACTCCTTCATCTTATTCTAGTACAATTCAATTTCCTATATAAAAAATATCACACCCCCACAAATTTTTTTTTCTAAAACCAAAGCCAACCTACTACCATCAAGTCATTTCTGACTCACAGCAACCCTCGAGGGCAGAGTAGAACTCCCCTAAAGGGTATGCAAGGCTGTAAATCTTTACAGAAGCACACTACCTTTCTTCCAGAGAATGGCTGGTGGGTTCAAACCACCAACCTTTCAGTTAGCAGCCCAACACTTAAGCTACTGTGCCACCAGGACACGTTAAAACATTTCTAAGTCTATTTAAATTGAGCAATTCTATTATGCCATATCCTTTAAAACGATAAGGCCTACATCTCAATCATCTTTTTTATTTCCTAGTGCAGAATATGCAGGACTATTTAAAAACAATTAGTTTTTTTTAGTACAATCAAATTTGGGGAGAGGTCAACAATCTGGATAGTACCTTAAAGTTAGTTATAATGAGACCTTTTCTTTATGTTGTTGTGTTGTGAAGTGCCGTCGACTTGGTTCTGACCCACAGCAACCATGTTTAGGGTTTCTGAGGAGCAGCTGGTGAGCTTGAACTGCTGACCTTGTAGTTCAAACGGCTTTGCAGTCTGGCCCATTAACCCATAGTGCCATACCAGGACTCCTTTAAATAAGTGTTTTCTAAAGCATTCCTTTAAAAATATTCTTTTAGGATAGATGAACAGATAAGTGAAGAGATGTTAAAATACATTTAGGAAGCAAGATTTCCAGCCTACATTCTTCAGTACGTACGCTGGACACAAGAAGGTAACAGCGGTTTCCTATGGAGTTGGTAGACATATCTCACTCACTGAGATAGTCTCCCTCCATTCCTAACAAAAAGCCACACCAAGTCTTGAGCAGCAGAGAGATGGGTCTGGAAGTTAAGGTCACTGTTGTTGTCATCATTGAAAGCTGCAGAACGCTCAACAGTAAGGCTGAGGGTATATGGGATCCTCTTACCTCACTGTAGGAGGAATGAAAAGAAAAACAGGCTCTGTATGAACTCTCTCCAGTCCTAAAGGAAAATGAAAACAACACAGAAAGATCACATATCAAGACTAAGCTAGACTAAGACATATTTCTGGAACAAGTTAGCAGCCAAGTACCACCCAGGGACTCCCAATTAGACTAAGTTCTTCATTTCTGAGCCTTCCCATTTTGGGCTGTTTCAGTATGAAACCATCCCGCAATCAAGAACTTCTCCCTGAGGTTGGGTAGAGACTGGTGAGACCCCGAGACTATGGCCCTTAGTTACCCCCATGGATCAGCTTTCAGTCAAACAGTAGATAGGTCTATAAGGGGAACAGTAACACTAGGGAGGTATGTACTCCTGAGAATCATCAACTATTTGTGATGAAAAGGGCAGCATTTATCCAAGGACAAAGTTCAGAAGTGCTAGGAAAGGAGGAATGGAAACTAGCAACACAGGGAGGCAGTGGGATGAGTGAGGACTATAAACAACGACAGTACACAAAATGTGTCTGAACTGTTGAATAGAAAACTAACCTGCTCTGTAAACCTTCACTCAATTCACAATAAAAAAATGAAAGAAAGAAAATAATATAGCCTGGAAAATCCTACAGGATAGTTCTATTTCTCACACGGGGTCACTATGAGTGAGAACTAACTAGACTAGAAGTCACCTAACAACAGTACCAAACATAAAGGGTTCTACTTCCACTGGGCATGAGAAGAGATCAACGACAGCATCTCTCAGAAAGGAGGGATTTAGGATGTGGGAAACCAGGAACACCTAACAGGAATAGTGTGAACATAGGTTCAAAGATCTTTTTATGTCTTATTTAAATGAATCCTAATTATGTTACTGCAATCAGTGACATGAAACAAAATGTGTATGAATTGTTGACTGGAAAACTAAACTGCTCTGTAAACCTTCTCCCAATTCATAATAAAAAGTTTAAACAAACAAACAAAACACAACAAACTCAAGATGAATCAAAAATCTAAATGTAAAACCTAGAGAGAGAAAAAAAAGAATTTCTCCCTGGGTCTGATTGGAGTGAATTCTTTCCAGAAATATAACTCTGTTGACAATAAAAACATAAAATCCCCTATTCAAAAAGAAAATTAAAAAATCAGAAATATGTGTTTGCCTTTTAAAGGCAAGGGGGGGAGAAACAAACCAAAAAGATACTTATTTTTTCTCAGTAAAACTCATTGCTGCACAGATTGGTCAGGCTGTAGGAAAAGTCACAAAATAAATACATTGTAGCTTATTCACTAGTTGCTATAGATCACCAGGCCTTTCCTCCTAGTCTAACTATGCTCAGCAACTCTCCACTGAGGGAAAGGTGATGGCTGCACTTGAGGTGTGTTGGCTGGAATCACACCTAGTTATCCCTCCTGGAAGATAAAAATTCTACCACTGAATCACAAATGTTGTTGTTGTTAAGTGCTGTTGAGTCAGTTCCGACTCATAGTGACCCTGTCCAAGGAGCAGCTGGTGAGTTTGAACTGCTGGCCTTGTGGTTGGATACTTATCCTACAGCACCACAGGAATCTGCCACACCAATGTCTCCTACTACCAAGGGGATTTTAAAAGTTCATGAAAAATTGCATAATCTTTTTTCTCTTGCTTTCCATAATTTTTTAATTCCTTTCTTTCATGAACTTTTTTGAAGTCCCTTCATAAGAGTAGAGTTGTGAGCATATGTAACATGCTTGTTTGTATGGCTTGTATATGTATTCATGTATATAATAAAGCACCTTAAGAGATACAATTATAGATATTACTTAGATATACCCCGCAAGCACCTCCTGGGATTGATTTACTGGGTTTGAAGACTCAGAACCATAGTCTCGTGGAACAACTAGGTTAACTATCATAACTTCATTCAGAATGACAATATTCTACATCTTAGTTTGATATGTACCCTCTAGGATCTTAAAAGCTTGTAAGTGGCCATCTAAGATACAATGTCAGGGGCCACGGAGAGTGAAGGAAATTAAAGACTAAAGGAAGAAATCAGTCCATAACACTAATGGCCGACAGAAACTGCAGCATCTTTTAGACTGAAATCAAAAGTCTCAGATGGTACCTAATTACCACTATCTCCAGGGACACAATAGATAGTGCTGGTTAGAACAGAAAAATGTAGAGCAAAATTTATATTCATATAAAAAGGACAAGACTAACTGGACTGATAGACATTGCTGAGACTGTCACTTTAAGATACCCTTTTAACCCGGAACTGAAGCCAATCTCTGAGGCAGTCTTTCAGTCGCAAAATAGATTGGCCTACAAAATAAACAATAACACGCGTGAGGAAGTGCTCCTTGAAACAAACAACTATAAGAGAGAGTCAATGGTCAACATTTACACAGAAGCAAAGATGAGAAGGTAAGGAGGGGAAGGGAGGGGAAGTGAGAAGGGGCAATGGGGTGGAAACAGTGACGGTCCTCATAAGTGATAGGGTCTGTAACCAGCGCCACAGAACAATCTGTGTCTGAGGTGTTGAATGGCCATTAGATTTGCTGTGCTAACTTTCAACTCAAATGCAATAAAATACTCAAAAGCAAACCACAAAGATGAGAATGTGAGGGGGGCAGGGAAATTAGATGAAATAGAAATAGAAAAACCAGAACAGGAAGTATGAGAATTTTTAGAAATGTCCACACATTGTGAAGACGGTAACTAATGTCACTAAACAATTTATGTAAAAATTTTTGAATGGGAACCTAAACTGCTGTATAAACCTTCACAAAAACCAGTTTTATTTCTGTTTTAATTATATACTTCTTCTAATACCAAAAGGCATCATCAATATTTATAAAGTTTATGAAATTATTTCTTTAATGATAATATATCCCCTTCTAGGTCTGGTAGCGTAGTGGTTACGAATCGGGCTGCAAACCTTAAGGTCAGTGGTTCGAAACTACCAGCCGCTCCGCGGGAGAAAGATGAGGCTTTCTACTCCCGTAAGGATTTACACCCTCGGAAACCCTGTACAGGGTCGCTATGGGTCGGAACTGACTTGACGGCACTTAACAACAACAACAGGGGGAACATGGTAGCTCTGTGGGATAAACATGGGATTATGATTCCACCAACTACACCATGGGAGAAAGATGAGGCTTTCTGCTCGCACAAAAGAGTTACAGTCTCAGGAACGCTATACAGGGTCACTGTGAGTTGGAATCAGCTTGATGGTACTAAACAATAACATATCCCCTCCTGAGACTAAAGAGTAGAACACAAGTAAATCAGATAATTTACCTAAAAGCCAAATTTCTCTCAGAAGATCTAGGATACAGTGCTTTCTTACCTCACAATTACATTTGTTTTTCTGGTTCTTTCTCCAAACCACATAGTAGATGGCTTAATGCTGATTACGTGGAGTGGGTTTCTATTTTTGGAAGTCATCCCACAGGGTAATTTGCTCCACTGAAAATATTCCTCTGCCTGAAAAAGATGAAAAATACATACATAGAAAAACAGTTCGACATATTCAACAAATCTGTTTGTAAGCAAGGTCTCAAATATAAATAGAGATATGAGGAAATAAATAATTCCAAATTGGGGAACATTCTATAAAACAGTTAGTCTGGACTTTTCAAAATTATCAATGTCATATAAGACAGACAAATGGCTTGGGTATTTGGTGGATATTAAAAAAAAAAAAAAAGACATGTCTGAATGGACACACGATCCTTAATTAAATACTAGTGGCTCCTGCTCCCCTCATCCCACAAGCTATAAAAAAATTATTGGGACAATTAGCAAAATGTGAATATGGACTATATAATATCTCATAGTATCATATCGATGTTAAATTTCCTGAGTGTGGTAAATGTTTCAAGCTTCTATAGGAGAATGTCTTTGTTTGTAAGAGATTCCTGTTAAAGGACTTGGGATGAAGTGTCATGAAGTCTGCAGATTACTCTCTCATGGTTCAGTGTGGGGCAGAGGATGATTATGCAGAACAAGTGTAACTATGACAAATATTAATAAACTGGTGAGTCCTGATGAAGATTATACTAGTCTTAATATTTTACTGCTGATTTCACATTTTTCCAAAATAAAATTGGAGGAAAAAAAAATGGTTGTTGTTGATGTTTAAGTACCATGGAGTCGTTTCCGACTCATAATGACCCTACACGGGGTTTCCGAGGCTGCAAATCTTTACAGGAGCAAAAAGCCTCACCTTTCTCCCAAGGAACAGCTGGTAGTTTCGAACTGTCGACCTTGAGGTTAGCAGCCCGATTCGTAACCACTACACTACCAGAGCTTCAAAAAAAATTGATAAATGATAGAACTACTTTTCCAAGTATCCTCAGTATGCCAACTAAAGCAAGTTCATTAGGGTCTCTTTGGTGTTATTTCTCACAAGGTTTGAAATACATCTCTACAAGAGTTGTCTCTCCCGGCCAGCAGTTTTAAAGGCTACGTGGCTATGAAATAGCTTAGACCACCCAGAAGCAGTACTGTTGATCCTTAAATAACACAGGTTTGAACTGTCACTCACACAGATTGTAAAAAACATACTGGAAAATTTTGGGGAGATTTGAGACCATTTGAAAAAACATACACTGCATATCTAAGAAGTATATTATAAAACAAGGAAAAGTTAGGTATGTCCTAAATGCATAAAATCTTTGTACATGCATACTCCATTTTATCATTTGGTATCATCAAAGACATACAAATCTGTTATCAAAACTTAAAATTTATCCAAGTTTGCACACACACAAACACAGATCATACCTGGCATCGCTCACAGTGGAGAGCAATGTGAACAAACGTAAAGCTGCAGTATTAAATCGTAGCTGCATAAAGTTCACTGCGGCAACTACTGCACTGCTGGAATAAGTTCGCAGCCCCCTTCAGCTGATAGCATGCTCAGCTCAAGTCGCAAGTAGCCAATTAAAGTGGGTAAATCATCTTAGAGACCAATCACCTCCGCATGAACAGCTCATCTCAACTGTCAATTTTGTATGGTGGTAAGAAGTGATCGCTCACTGTTCTCACATAGTTTTCGAGGTGTTTTCTGTAATACTGTAGACCTTGAACAGCATGGGACCTATACAAAGCATCACTAGTGCTGCTGGAAGGGATCCCAAGAAGCAAAGCCATGACATTAGAAGACAAAGTTGAATTGTTTAATATGTACGGTAGATTGAGGTCTGCAGCTGACAACCATTTCAAGGTCAACGACTACTGTGTAAGGATCATTGTTAAAGAGGAAAAGGAACTTTGTGAAACTACCACTTGCAGCTACTGCTGTAGGCATGAAAAACCTTGCAATTTTATAAAATATCTTGTATCTCATATCAAAAATGCAGTTTTTATGTGAATGTAGAATCGCTTTAAGAAAGGCATACCAATACCATATCGCCTATAATATGATCTGAGAAAAAGCAGTCATTTATGGAGTCCTGGTGTGGCATTGTGGGTTAATGGGCTGGACTGCAAGGTCAGTTTGAACTTCAAGGTTGGCAATTCAAGCTCCTCAGCCACTCCTTGAAAATCCTACACAGGGTCTCTGTGGGTTGAAACCAACTCGGTGGCACTTAATAATAACAACAAAGCAAAAGAAAGGTAAAGGACCTAAAGCAGAAGAATTTAATGCCAGCAAAAGATGGTTTGATAATTTTAGAAAGAGGATTGACTTAAAAACTGTTCAGATAACATGTGGAGAAGCTTCTCCCAACAAAGTGACAGCAGATGAGTTCCCAGACACCATTAAAACAAAAAAAAAAATCACTGAGGAAAAAGGATAATGCAGACAAAAGTGTCTTATCCAGGAAAAAATAAAATAAACAGTGGGAGAAAGGATATTTATCAGTAAGAAAGGAAAACCAGCAGGAAGGGGCAGGCTAACTCTACTGTTGTGTGCAAATGCAGCTCAATTTATGATCAAACTGCCCTTATTGATATAGCAACTGACCCCTGAGCCTTGATGGAGAAAGATAATCACCGGCTGCCAGTCTTCAGGTGTGGTGCTATAGGGTAAGCTGTTCAAATCTACCAGCCTCTCCTCAGAAACCCTAGCTAGACAGGCTCCCTATGAATCAGAACCAACTTGACAGCACTAAACAAATAAAAAGGCTTCATGTTGCCCAACAAGAAGGCTTAGATAATGAGAACCCTTTTTCTGGATTGGTTCTATTGATGCTTTGTCCCTGAAGTCAAGAAGTACTTTGTCAGTAAGGATTGGCTTTTAAAGTCCTTGATACTGGATAGTGTCCCTTGCCACCCAGAACCCTATGAGTTCAACACTTAAGGCACCAAAGTAGTCCCCCAACACATCTCTCATTCAGCTTCTAGATCAGGGTCTCATCTGGTAGCATAGTGCTTACGAACCGGGCTGCTAACCTCAGGGTCAGCAGTTCAAAACTACCAGCTGTTCCGTGGGAGGAAGATGAGGCTTCTGCTCCCGTAAAGATTTATAGCCTTGGAAACTCTGTACAGGGTCACTATGCATCAGAACCAACTCCACGGCACATCACCACCACCACCACCACCACTTATGGTGGTTGTTGTTAGGTGTCTTCAAATTGGTTCAAAGTATTGAGGCAGACAGCCTCATCCTTCTACTGCCATGACTCATGGTACTCTGTGGGAAGTCAGCATTCTTGATGGTCAACACTATGGAAAGAGAACCCAGGCAGTGAGAACATCATGAAAGTCTGGAAGGATTATGCTACTAAAGATGTCACCATCGTCATAGAAAAAGCTGTGAAAACCATCAAGTCCCAAATCATACATTACTGCTGGAGAAACTGTATTCAGATGTTGTGTATGACTTCACAGGATTTATGAAAGAGCCAATGAAGAAATCATGAAAGAGATTATGGATATGGGGGTGGTGGAGCGTGAAGGGTTTCAAGATAATAGATTTTGGAGAAACTTAGGACTTAGTAGTCACCACACCAGAGGGGTTAGGCCAAGACAACCTGATGGAGACGAGGGCTTCTGAACCAGCGGCAGACAGCAGGAAAACAAACCGACATTAGACAATCTGGCAGAAGTCAATCTGCTTTTGACTTCTTTGATGACATACAGACCCTTCTATGATACGGACACTGAAACTAAAGCAAATGGTGGAAGAAGAATTGGTACTGTATAGAAACATTGTTAGAGAAATGAAAAAGCAAAAAGTCAGCCAGAAATTATGATGCATTTCGTCTCCCCCTCTTCCACTCTGACTTCTCCTCTGCCACCTCTTCCTCAAGTCTATTCAACATGAAGATGATTCATCTTGAAAACGACAACATAAGCTTACAGTAACAATAAATACAGTTCAGTATTGTAAATGTACTTTCTCGTCCTTGTAACTTTCTTACTAACATTCCATTCTCTGTAGTTTATCTTATTGTAAGAATACAGTATATAATATATATAACATACAGAATATATAAAAACTGACTGCGTTATTAGTAAAGTCTCTGGTCAACAGTAGGCTACTAGTAGCTAAGGTTTGGGGAAGTCAAAAACTATTTACGGATTTTTGACTGCACTCAGGGGTCAGCGTCCTTACCCCTGTGTTGTTCAAGGGACAAATGTAGTTCAAGAAAACAGTCAAACATGAGGAATGAACTGCAGTTGTGTTGTGAGTCTTTGAGTCCATTCCAACGCAGAGCAACCTTTAATGAGTGTGTGATGAAAGCAGCAGCAGCTACAAATTAGACTAGTTTGTGGGACATTATTCAAAGCGAAAAGAAATTTGCCAATTAAAAGACTCGTAGACACAGGTCCCCAAACTCTAAGTCCAACAGCTACAGGATATTTATGTACACATACAGACACAATGATGAACTCAGTCACAGGTGAGTTCTAATATCCATATTGTTGCTGTTAAGTGCCGTTGAATCGGTTCTGACTTGGTGACCCTGTATAGGGTTTCTGAGATACAGCTAGTGAGCTTGAACCATCGACCATGCAGTTCAAAGCGACCTTGCTGTTCAGTGCATTATCCTGAAGCACCAAACCAACCATCAAAATAATTGTTTTGCCCTGTTGGTCTCTTATTGAGAGTCTTGGTGTGGTACTGTAGGATCAGTATTGGACTGGTAACCACAAGGTTAACGATTCAAACGCAAAAGCCACTCCTTGGAAACCCAGGATCTCTATGAGTCAGAAGTGACTCTACGACACATAACAACAACAACAAGATATCTCTTATTGAGGTCTAAAGTAGACCTTTTTGTTGTTTAGAATTATGCTTTATTTTAGGGTACTTTTCTTAAGGCTTTTAGTTCACTGAACAAATATAACTAATACAATAGTGATCTAGGCATATAAATGAAATGTTCACTAAAAACTTACTTAACACAGGAATGCTAAGATATTTTTAACTTCAGAGGAAAATTAGGATCACTTCATATTCATCTGAAGATCACTAATTTTTACAGTGAAAAAAAATTTTTTTAAAGGTAAATTCATATTGGAAGCCTTATACCTGGTATTTAATATTTAATAACAAAAGGGAGTTCTACAGTAGCATTAGAAAACAAATTGCAAGTGAGTTTCAAAGATACCAGAAACATTCAACTGAAACTGGGTTTTCAGTGTTGTTGCTGAAATCGACTCTGACTCACAGCAACCTATGTGACAGAGGAGAATTGTTCCACAGTGTTTCCTAGACTGTAATCTTTATCAGAGATCACCCAGTCTTTTCTCAAGTTGGCTCAAACTGCTAACCTCTCAGTGAGCAGTCAAACGCTCAAACTACTGTACCACCGAGGGTCCTTTGGCCATAAACACATACAACTACGTCAAGATATGAGGCAACATCTAGGTATTTATATCAAATGAGTAGAAAAAACACAAAGTTTATAAGCATGCATGTGTCATGAGTATGAAAAATAAATACCACCTGATTGTGAATATGGTTTCTTAGATTAAAACACTGTATTTGTTATTTCATTATGTATTTATTTAAATATGTATTATCAAATGAGTATGACATATTTCATTAAAAAGCTATACGTATTTAAGTGTACTTACACAGTTTATAGCACCAGAATTCTGTGACATATCATTGCATGACCCTGGACAAACAACTTTGGATTTCAGTCAGAGTTATTCATTTGTAAATTGAGAAACCTAAGAAAGGTCATTTCTGACCTTTTAGACCTAACATTCTGTTGTTGTTTGTTTTATTTTTCTGGAACAGAATGTGAAAAAACATTCCCAGGCATACCTGCGGATGGCGACAGGCATGGATCTGAGTGCTGCGGTCTGTTGTCAGATGATGGAGAATATCAGGCATGTTTCGAAACATGTCCAGTTTATCCACATGAACCTAAAGAAAGAAAAGTTTGCCTATCAGTAAATTGTTCAAAGATAATTGTTATGGGGCAACCGCAAAGCCTAGTTTGGGCAGTATCAATGCAAATCAGTATTCTGCCAGGATGTTAGCATGGCAAAGACCGTCTTCCAAGCAGTCCCGGGTACCACTTGTTGTTAGTGACTTGTGAATTTAATTTGATCAGGCTATTATTACTGTCTTTGATTACTCTGAGGGCCAGTCATTAATATTTGCTGGGCACCAGCAGTAATGAGCTAAGAGTTTGGCTGCTACTAGAAAGAAAGGTTGGCAGTTCGAACCCATCAGCTGCTCCACGGGAGAATTGATGTGGCAGCCTGTTTGCATAATGATTACAGCCTTGGAAAACTGATCACGCTCTTCCACTCTGTCTGTAAGGTTCAGTTTGATGGAAATGGGTTTAGTGCATGGTTTTTATGGAAGAGAAGTACAGAAATTTTCATTCTCACAGAAATGAAGACATCTGAGACAGTTGCAGTAGTTCATGTTTGGGATCACTAAGTCAAAAACCTCACTGTTGCTCAAAAAATATAAAAATAAAACTACCATCCAAAACCAAACTCACTGTCATCGACTCTGAGAGATGCTGTATAGGGTTTCCGAGGCTATAAACGTTTACAGGAACAGAAAGTCTCATCTTTCTCCCTTGGAGCAGCTGGTGGGTTTGAACAGCCAACCTCATAGTTAGCAGTCCAGTGCTAATTCTACAGCCCACAAAGGTTCCTTATGATGCAGCAAGTCCAATGCTATGAATATACCCAAGGGATTTAAAAGCAGAGACATAAACAGGAATATGTATATCAGTGTTTACTGTGGACTAGTCACAATAATCAAAAGGTGGAAACAACCTAAGTACTTATCAACAGAAGAACGGATAAACAAAATGTGGTAAATACATACAATGGACTACTAGTCAGCCAGAAAGAGAAATGAAGTCCTAATACACACTACAATAGGAATGAAGCTTGAAGATAAAATGCTGAGTGAAATAAGTCAATCACAAAAGGACAAATGTTGTATGAGCTCATTTATGTAAAAAGACAAGAAAAGGTAAATGTACAGAGACCCAGGTTTATTTATTTACCAAAAGCAGGAAGTAGGTGGCGGGAGGGGGAGTTATTGCTTATGGAGCACTGAATGTATGTTTACAGTGAAGGAAAAATCTTTTTGATTAAGGATAGGTGACACAGCCAATTAATATAATTACTGTCAAGAAGCTATACATCTATAAAAAACTGAATAGACAAAAGGTGTATAATAGTTATTTATACAACAACAAAAAAGAAGTTGCGGAATCTGCTTACGCACTATTAAATACCTCATGGGATTTAGTTTCTTAGCTTGGAGGTTTGTTGTTTTGTTGTTAAGGGCAATTAAGTTGGTTCCAACTCATAGCGACCCAGTATAAGGTTTCTGAGGGGCAGCTGGTGAGTTTGAATTGCCGACCTTATGGTCCAGTGCTTATCCTACAGCATAGTTATTTCATTATTTTATGGGACTGTCCACTTAAAAATTGACCTAACATGTCTAGTGCTTCTGTTCTGTCTCCGAATTTGCTGTGTAGCACCTGGGGACTGAAAAGCCCATAAACAGCCATGCAATGTATGGTCTCTATACATGTGGACCAACACAGAAAGGAGAGTTAAGAATATGAGGAAGAAACGCAATGTGTGGCTAACTGCCTAGTTTCACGTGAAACAAACCTACAAGACTGAAAATAGGGAACCAGAGATATCAATGTATAATGAAGTCAACTACAAAGCAAACAGAGGGAATAGTGTAGATACAGAACTTCCAAATGGCAAGGAAGTCAATTAGATTTCAAGATAAACAGATTGTTTTAAGTAGGGGGGATAAATTAACAAATTACAGGGCAACCTCACACCTGCACATTAAAATTAAAAAAAAGAAAATCAGAAAGGTTCAGTAAACACAATTAACACAATAGAAATGAAAAATGAAAAGAAAACCCAAAAACCAAGTGAACTCAACATGGAAAGAAAGAACAGTCACCGTACCTGGACCCCAAATTCTTCACTGAGGTTGGTGAATAAATACTCATAACCATAAGCTGCTTTGCAGTTCAGCCACACGACATGGAAAGGGCTCCGAGTAATCCAGCTTCTAACCAGCTCCAAGATTCCATTTAAACACTCCTCCTGGCAAGGGGTTTTAAAAGGCACTTCATACTTCTAAGAGTACCACTTACCCTTTCTATTCACAGATAATAATGAAAATGTGGACAGGTAAGATCTGATTTGCTATCACATCAAAGGTCCAATTAAAAACATGGTCCTGTCCAGGTTAACACTTCATTTCTTCAGGGAGACTTACCCGACTTGGAATCTGATAATATTTTGGATCACAGAAAGTAGTATCTAAATATACACTCTGGATGTCTTTCACTCTGAAAACAAAACAGAATTAGTATTAATCATCTAATGCAGGGGTGGGGAACATCCAGCCCACAGGCTGTAGGCCGTTGTTGTTAAGTGCCCTAAGGCCTGTGAAATCATTTGGTCTGGCCCTGCCAAGGCAACCATAGTTCCAGCCATCAAATTGCTGTTGTTGTTAAGGAGTCAGTTCTGACTCCTATCGACCCTGTATAGTTTCTGAGGAGTGGCTGGTAAGTTTGAACCACTGACCTTGTGGTTCAAACCGACCTTGAGGTCAAGTGCTTATCCTATGGCGCCACACCAGGACTCCATTACATCAGGGGTTAGTTAAGTAAATGTTTGACCAAATATAGCAGGATAATTTTTAAGTTGATAATTTGTATGGTCCACAAATAATGTTATAAATATCCAATGGTCCTTGGCAGATAAAAAGTTCCCCACCCCTGCTCTAATGTAACATAAACTATATGTAAGATTTAAAGTCCCAGTTGTTTTACAGGGTGTTCTATTTCATTTGGAATGTTTTTGTTAAACCATCTTTGCTGAAATGGTTTACATATAATTCTTAAGTACCATCGAGTCGGTTCCAACTTACAGTGACCCTATATGAGGTTTCCAAGGAGTGGCTGATGAGTTTGAATTGCCAACCTTGTGATTCAACCTAACCTTGCGGTCCAGTGCCACAACATAAAACACATAAATTTATATGTACAGAGGTTAGAATTTAATAGTGGTTACCATGGGTGGGGGAAAGAGAACTGAGGGAATCAATGTTGAGGAAGAAGCACCTAGTCTCTGTTTCTCATGATGGGAAATTTGGCAGCAGATACTGGTGATATTTGCACAACATACTTGTTGTAATTGCTGTCACTGAATTATACATGTGAAAAATGTTGAATTGGCAAATGTTCTGTTATCTATATTTTCACAACAAATTTTAACATGTATATGTATATAAAGTCTGTATATGTGATTTGGTGAATTTTGTCAGATTTATGCAGACATCACTCCAATATATAACATTTTCATTACCCATCTCAAGGAGGAAAAGTTGCCTTACCATTAGAGATAGCATACAGGTTGTTGTCGTCATTGTTTTTGTATGCCGTCTAGTAGGTCTCTGGTAGCGTAGTGGTTACGAATCGGGCTGCGAGCCTTAAGGTCAGCGGTTCGAAACTACCAGCCGCTCCGCGGGAGAAAGATGAGGCTTTCTACTCCCGTAAAGATTTACACCCTCGGAAACCCTGTACAGGGTCGCTATGGGTCGGAACCGACTCGACGGCACTTAACAACAACAACAACTAGTAGGTTCAGGCTTATGGCAACCCTGTATGGGTTTTCCAAGAGCAGCTGGTGGGTCTGAACCACCAACCTTGTGGTTACTAGTTCAGTGCTTATCATAGAGCACCACACAAGGACTCATTATACAGGTAGTCCCAGAATTATGCCAGTGTTCCATTCTCACATCTTTGACGTAAGTTTCCTCTGATGTAAACTGAATACCTCTTTTTTTTTTTTTTTAGTTTTCATTATTATTGCCTTTTATTATAAGTATCTTTATAAACCAGATTTCTATTTGTCTTTGGGTGTTGAAAACATCACATATGTACTATAAAATATACAGAAATATTTTAATACATACATTAAAAAGCCCACAAATCATAGAAGTTTATTCCAGCAATGGAGAAAAGTCAGACAACACTGGCATTTTGTCAGTTGTAGTAGTTAAATCTACTTGTGGAAGGTTCTGGGTCATCTGCATGATCCCTGAGAATGGGGATGTGTAGTTCTAGTCAGAAAATTAGTGAGACCTGTCTGTATGGTTCTTTTACTTTCTCCTCATATAATTCACGTAATATCTCAGTGCTTCCCAAGACTGCCTTTAGTAAAGTGATCAGAGTTTGGGTTCACATTTTCATGCAAATGAAGGCCCTCATTTGGTTTAGAAGAAACTCTTGCTAATACTTTCACTATGAAATTTTCTGACATCTCTCCTTCTTCCTCACTGCTTCTTTCTTCTTCGGCACTTCTTCCCCTTAAGAAGCCCAGTAAATCCTGATTATGTCAATCAATCCCCATTCTTTGTGATCAAAGAGCTGTTACACATCTGTGATACCAATTTCCAAACTCAGTGTTCTTGCCATATGGATGGTTTTTCCATGAATCCCTTCCACCATGTCATCCTGATCAAATGCTTGAAGCATGTTCAAATATCTCAACCATTTTTTCCCATATTCTCCGCATGCATTTCCCCATAACATCCTCCCAGAAAGATGTGATGTTCCAGATACACTGACAGTCTTAAGTAAGGTGTTTTGTAACTCAAACATGTTTCAAATCCGTGATTATCTACCAAGTTTGATTTCTAATAGAAGCAAAGGTTTGTGTTCACAGAGAAAAGAAAAGTAAAACATTTAAAACTATGCAGTCTTACCTGCCCCCAGAGTGTAGAAGCTCCATTCTGACAGCTTCTCCTTTGGCCAGTCTGAAGTCTCCGGTGTACAAGACAGTTCCGTTATCTCCCTGAAATAAAAACCTGAAAAGGAAACACAGCTCAAATAACTTCTAAGTCTCATACAAAATCCTAGGAAAGCAAATACATGTTAAACCCACAGCAAATGCTTTCCTGCCAAACATATCCACTAGATTACAGTGTTTCTGGTGTCCCAGTAACTCTAAAATCATACCAGGCACTCAACTCTTCCTTCATTTTGCTGGGGTAGGGAAGAATAACACAATGGCGAAAATACCAAGTTTGTTAACAGATATCCCCTGAAATATATTTGCACTGTCAACTACATGGTGAGATCATTCCTATTCCTAAAGAGAAAATTCTACGGGATGGGAAACCACAGTCACTTGTAACACAAGGAAGCTCCATTTTACTGTGGTCTCCAAAGTGCAATCTGGAAACAAATACAAGGGGGCTTCAAAAAGTTCATGGAAAACATCTATTATCCTTCAGTCCCATTTTTCCGTGACCTTTTTAAAGTCCCCTTGTAGTAAGGAAATTCCCAGAAAAATTACAAATTTCCCTATACATGTTTATTATTTTCTAGATCTATAACATTTCTATAAATATATATGTATGTATCTATGGACAATACAATAGCAAAATATATGAGCCCCTTACATAACAGATCCTGGGCAGTGGCCAGCTGGTAACAGAGTCACAACAACCTCATCCTTCTGAAATGAAATAAAGAAAAACACACACACACACACAAAGATGGTATCATTAAAGTCATTTGCCACTAAACTCAAAATCATAAAAAAAAAATGACAAGGCTTACTGGTCAGACACAAACTGGTGAAACCCCCAATATTATGCCTTTAGGTATCCTCCAGGTCTGGAAAAAAACTCACCCCATGGCTCAATTTTCAGTGAAACAATACACAGGTCTATAAGGGGAACAGTAACACTCGAAGGTATGCACACCTTAGAAGACTCAACCACGTGAGATCAGAAAGGCAACAGTTATCAGGGACAAAGATCAGAAGGGTTAGGAAGGAAGGAGGGAAGGACACAGGAGACACAGGGAAGAAGCGGAGTATGTGGAACAGGGACATGAAATCAATGAACTGTTGACTAGAAAACGGATTTGTCTCTGGAAACCTTCAGTCAAGTCACAATAAAAAGTCAGAACAACAAAGATGCCATTGAGTTGATTCTGACTCATGACAATCGTATGAGTGTCAGAGTAGAATTGTGCACCATATGGTTTTTCAGAAGTAGGTCACTAGGCCTTTCTTCCCAGGTGCTTCTGGGTAGACTCAACCTTCCAGCCTTTCAGTTGGTGGGCGAGCACATGAACCACGGAGCTTAACAACCCAACTCATAACCACTATGCTACCAGAGCTCCTTGTTTATCCTATAGCACCACACTTGAACAATAAAGTTCAGCTTAACAGAACACCTTTAAATATCCCTAAAAAACATGGTGTATGCCTTTCCTCCCCCATTTCCTCCACATTTCGGAAACAAATGAAATCCTTGTCCATTCAATACATAGCTAAATAGAGTTAGTTACCATATGATCCAGCAACTTCATTCTTAGGTACCTCCCTTTGAGAAGTGAAGACATGTATGTCCATATAAAACTTGTACACAAATATTCATGGAAGCATTATTCAAAATAGTCAAAAAATTGCAACACTCAAATGCCCAGAAATTGAGGAATAGATAAATAAAATGGGGTATAGCCATACAATGGAATGAAGTACTAATGTATACTACAATACAGGTGGAAACATTATGCTAAGTAAAAGAAGCCAGTCACAAAAGGAGCACATATTTTATGTTTCCAATTATATGAACTATGTAGAATAGGCAAATCCATAGAGAAAAGACACAAGATTAGTGGTTGCCCAGGGCTGGGGGCCATAGGGGAATTTGGGTGAGGGTGACAACTAAGGGTATAGGGTTTCTCTTTGGAAAAATGAAAATGTTCTACAATGAATTGTGGTCATGGACACATAACTCCGTGAATATACTAAAAGTCATTAAGTTGTACACTTTTATGCTCTGTGAATTGTATGCTCTGTAAGTTTTATTTCAATAAAATTGCTATTTAGAAGAAAGAGGCAGAACATACCCACTTCCTAAAATCCTAACTGTCCCAATTCACCACATTGCACTTTGAGGGGTTCTCTGTAGCCCTGAGGACATGGGGTTGGCGCTCTCTAAATACTAGCTTCCTACTGAATAACAGTTAACTCACAGTGCATTTTAAACTATTAATTCTGAAGGCCCCTTTAAATTGTGATCTGTCATTGGTTGGGGTTGGGTAAACAAAGCACAAAGCCTTAGAACACAAGGTCACATATCAGGATCAGAGAGGGACAGCCTGCCTCTCAGCAACAAGAGCATGCCCACTGTTTGCGGCCCATGTTGAGAAACACCTTTTACCAATATGTAGTAGCATAGTGGTTATGAATCGGGCTGCTAACCTCAGGGTCAGCAGTTCGAAACTACCAGCTGCTCCGCGGGAGAATGATGAGGCTTTCTGCTCCCGTAAAGATTTACAGCCTCGGAAACCCTATACAGGGTCTCTATGGGTCAGAACCGACTCCACGGCGCATAACAACAACAACAACCTGATCTGCTACAGGAAGATACCTACTAGCCCTACGTAGAATTTGAGGTAAAAAAATGGTAGCTCCATAGACCTTACTTTTGAAAGAATACATTCACAACACCAAAGTACCTACTCCAAAGTTGAAGAATGAAAAATAATTACACACTTTTAAAAATAAGCACTGGACCACAAGGTTGGTTTGAACCACAGAAGTCAGTGGTTCAAACTCACCAGTGGCTCCTCAGACACCCTATAAAGAGTCAGAACTGACTGAACAGCAACAACATAATAAACTTATAAAAAAATGATAATGACACAGAGTTCTATTCATTAGCATTTGTTGTTGTTGTTATGTGCCGTGGAGTCGGTGCCGACTCATAGCGACCCTGTACAGGGTTTCTGAGGCTGTAAACCTTTACGGGAGCAGAAAGCCTCATCTTTCTCCCGCAGAACAGCTGGCAGTTTCGAACTGGTGACCTTGCGGTTCACAGCCCGATTTGTAACCACTATGCTACAATTCTAAAAAGGTACAATTTTAAATGTAAGCTGTGTCCAAGTCTTTGGATGCAAGAAATAAACATATCATAAATGTGGGGTTTTTTTGTTGTCCTAAAAGCTTAACTGCTCTAAATTTTACTTATGGTTATATGAGCAATCAAAATCAAGGAAGAAGATAATGTTTCTAACATTAAGTAATTTAAAAACCACACAATATTTTTAAGAATTTCATTACCTTGCCTGATGCTTCATCAATTAAAGGTATCTGGGTAGGAGTGTCAATTTCAAGTGATACCTGTTAAAATGAAACAAGCGCTCATGTTTGTGCCAAGTGATACATACTTAGTTTTTCACGATTTTGTTTGTCTTTACAACTGAAACACAGACTAAGAGAAAAGCTATAGACTCTCTCTGCATAACAATGTCTTATTTCACCATACTATACATTTTAAAAGCTTAAACAACTAAATTAAGCTAAAATAAGATCTTTCTGGAAGTGGATATGGAAAAATGTATCAAAAGCCATAAATGTATATATCTTTGACATACCAATTCCATTTCCATAAATTCCATTTTACAACCTTCACGTCATCATCCTTTATCACTTTCAATCCCCTTTCCTCAATTCCCCTCTTTCCTTGAATTTGAATCTTTATAAAATATGTGATAGTTGTAGTTGTGTGCCATGGAGTCTGTTCTGACTCATAGCAACCCTGTATAGGGTTTCTGAGGCTGTAAATCTTTATATAAGAGCAGAAGGCGTCAGATTTGAACTGTTGACCTTGCAGTTAGCAGCCCAACTCGTAACCCACTATGCTACCAGGGATTCTATAAAATACATTGTTGTTGTTCAGTGCCACCGAGTAGGTTCTGATTCATAGTGATCCTGTATAGGGTTTCCAAGGAACAGTTGGTGGGTTTGAACCACCGATCTTGAAATTCAAACCGACCTCAAGGTCCAGCTTTATCCTACAGCGCCATGTAGTCATGCATGTGTGTGTGTGTATGTGTGTGTTTAGGTGTTATGCAATGGAACATGGTCTGGATCAACCCACGATGCTGTATAAAAACAGCTGGTTTGCTGATTGCAATTGCTCGAGAGTGCGTGAGCTTACATATTTCACCAGAACAATGACAAGTATTAACAGGCATTCAACAAGTATCAATGAACGAATGAATGGAACATTCCATCTTTTTAGTACACTAATATAAAATGAGTCCTGGTGTGGCATGGTGGACTAAAGCGCTGGACCACAAGGTTGGTTTGAACTGCAAGGTCACTGGTTCTAACTCACCAGCCACTACTCGGAAACCCTATACAGGGTTGCTATGAGTTGGAACCAACTTAACAGCACTCAACAAACGAGCAGAAATGTAAAACACAGTATTTGAGATTCAGGTGTTAAAATGGTCTCGTAGCTCTGGAATCGACACATCTTATTCATGATGTTTTATTTCTTTAAATAGGGTTGGATTCAGGTAGTTACTATGTTAGTTAGGATTTTCACATGTGCTCACATATAAATTGGCTCTTTTTCCCATGTACTATCATTATCTGGCTTCCTGGTGTGGTTCTGTGGGTTAATGTGCTGGACTGCAAAGTCAGTTTGAACCACAAGGTCAGCAGTTCAAGCTCACCAGCTGCAATTCGGAAACTCTATAGAGGGTTGCTAGTGGTAGGAACCGACTCTACAGGACTTAACAACAATAGCAACAACAACAATCATTATCTATTTTGCTAATAACCAAGTCGACATAACTTATCTTTTATTATTTCTACAATCTACCTCATGAACTAAGTTCCAAGATTTACTAATAATATTACTAGCAGTCTTATTAATGTGAAGAAAATACAGAGTGTGAGGAATCGGGCTTTGAATAAATCTGTCTCTACAAACAGTTCCTACTTAAAAATGGAATTAGTGCTATAAAAATTTTTTTTAAACTTACAATTCTTGTCTCCCAAAATCTGTATTTCGGGTTAGTTAACAACAATTCCTTAGTAACAGGAGAACAGTATAAGAAAACCTTCAAGCTGGAAGAGAAAACAAAAGCTGTTTCAGTACAATCCAAAGTGAATCGTCTTACTTGGTGACTGAGAAACACATTTCGTCATCTATCAGTTATCACTAAGAATTCAGGAATTGTGTTGCTACAAAAGTGTTGCAGTAGCTCCCAGAGTACTCCACTGCCTCTTTCAGTCCCATTAAGAGTGGAAAGGGAGGCGGGGAAGAAGCAGGTCAGAGAAAATACCATGTCCTCTGACCTCCTCAAAAAGGAAGTCACCATTCCTCACCATTCTCAGTAAAGAGATAAGTTTGAACATGATCAATTTATCTGAAAAGACAGCAACTAGATGTTAAGCAAACTCTATAAAATGGAAAGGAGGTGAGGGAACATTATACATAATATACTTGTATTCTGCAATATTTTTATATCATGCACTGGACCGCAAGGTCGTTTGGACTGCAGGGAAACCCTACACAGGGTTCAAACTCAACAGTACTTAACAACAAAAACAATTTTGTAATTAACTTTTTACAAAAAAACAAAAACTGCAATGTGCTAAAGTTTAGAGGATAAGAATAGTCTGTGACAGATTGTATTTTCCAAACACAGACACATTTATATATACCCTGTTCCACACGCTCTTCTTAGAACATGTAAAGGGAAATTCTTCCATTGAAAAGAGGGCACTGTGATCTCTCCCCTTGAACCTGGGCAGACTTTTGTTTTGTTTTGTTTTTCTGTTTTAATATTTTATTGTGAATTATGTGATAGTTTACCTGGGAGAACATCAGCTTTACATTAATCGTTTTGTATATTGTTACACTGCCATGGTTACAATCCTCTCCACGCATCATCAACCAACCAAATGGTACACTACGCAAGCCTGCCCCCTGGTGGTCAGCACACAGCCCCTCTCCCTCTCTGGGTCTACAGTTCCCAGATAGCCTCTGCCTCCATCTCTGGTGTCACTGTTTCTCTGGGTAGGGTCGTGCACTCCGTTCTTCTCCCTTGATGGTCTCAAGGCCCTCTGCTCCTGGACTGCAAAGTCAACCACTCCCCTCCTTTTGGTACAAAATGTCTACCTTTACATTTCCAACGCTCACAGTCAGTCCTGATAGTAATTATTCACTACTGTACCACATGAGTGTTATCCGCATTTCTTTTCATCAGTCCTGCCCACACAGATTGGATACTACTCAGTGGAGATTCTACCTTCCTCTGTGCCCTCCTGAAAACTTGTAAGCTAGTCACTTCTTGCCTTTGTAGCCCTCCCACCTCCCATTTTGGGTAGCCAATGTCCAAGTTGGAGCTTGGGCAGACTTTTGTAACTGCATTATAGAATGTAGCAGAAGTGACACTGCAAGACTTAGGAGGTTAGATCTTCAGGCAATATAGATTCCTTCTGGCTCTCTATTGGGACAAATACTTTTAAAGCCCTGATTTTCCAAGTAAGAAGTCCAGCTAGCCTTAAATCATGCTGAAGAGGCTTTTTAGAGATAAGGAGATGCCCAAGCCACCTGCAGATACGACCCTTCTAGTTATAGTCTCTGTGACTCACATCAAATGACTGTGTGAGGCCATTCAAATATAGTATATGAAAATCTAACTTGGGAACTGGTCAGTTTTGCCATCCTGCTGGGTTTTAAATGAGCCATTTCAAAAGTAGGAATTGGCATCTCACTACCATCAAGAAAGAAAAGCCAGGAGGAGTGGAGTGATCCCTTGGGCCCAGTCATTCCTGAGAGCTGAATCTCTTTGATCCAGGAGACAGAGCTGAGACACCAAATGAGGGCAGAGGAAAAGTGGCAGCAGAATCAAGAGCAGGAGGCAGAGCAGTAGGCCTGACCCACGGAGGGAGTATAGCTGAGTGCCTTTTGGCTGAGGCTTACTTTAGGTGGAATGGAGTGTCCTGGGGACATTTACCCACAGCACTAAAAGCACTTAGGAGTCCTGGTATGGTGTTGTAGGTTAATGCACCAGACTTCAGTCATTTGAATCGTAAGGTTGGCGGTTCAAGCTCACCAATCAGTTGCTCCTTGGAAACCCTATACAGGGTCACTATGGGTTGGAATCGACTCGACAGCACTTAACAACACCAACAAAAGCACTAAAGAGCTTGGTAACATTGCCTGAGCAGGGCAGAGGCCATGGGGCTGCATAGCTGAGATTGATGACCTGCGGGCACCCCTGAGAAGAGGCACTCTTGACCGAAGAACTGTGTCCTGAACATTTCCGATCCTGAATTGTAACCTGTTAACTTCCGGGGTATGGCAATACAGGGTAAGCACTCAACTGCTAATGGCAAGATCTGTGGTTCAAACCCAGCAGCCGCTCCTTGGAAACCCTATACAGGGTCTCTATGAGTCGGAACTGACTCAACAACACTTAAGAACAACAACAAAATTCCCTAATAAATTCTGTTACTGTGAATATTGTCTGTGACCTCTATGTGGCTACTGTAATGGAATACTGAACCTAGCAGGGAAATAGAAAGTGCTGTAGGAGGGACGATGGTTGGTATCAGAATTGGTAAAGGCTGGAGGGTGGAGGTATGTCTGAGAATCTTAAGAATCATCCTTGGGCTAATGTTGAGTTTGATTTTCCTTCCCCCTTGTGAAGTCAGAGGTCAGACACCACCACACCATTCTTCCAGAGCCCCGGCTGTTCCAGTTCCTAACTGTGGGGTCAGACATGTGAATGAGCCTTGCAATCATTTCAGCCCCAGGTGGCATCCCCTCTGTGTCTTGTCTGCACTGTTAACCCATATAAATTGAGAGAGAAGTCATTGTTGGTGTTTTAAGCCACTGCACTTGGGGGTAATTTATTACGCAGCAATCAATAACTAGTACACAGGCTCTATAATTAGACAGACCTGGTTGAAATCCGGGCTCTGCCACTTACTGGCTGCGTGACCTTGGGCACCTAATTTAACCTCTCTGGTTCCTCAGTTTCCTCATCTGTAAAATAGAAATAATAGAAGTATCTATTCAAAAGGTTATCAAGAGGCTCTAATGAAAATGTGAGCTCTAAGAGGGCAGGGATGTTTGTCTGTGTAGCTCACTATGATATACTGAACAGTAGTGTGCCTGACTTACCAGTTCTAAAAAACCTGCTGCACTAATAAATACATGGAATCTATTTAGCATGGTGGCCAGCACATAATAAGTACTCAATAAATACAATATATTGCTATCAAATACACAGGCTATTGATACCAATGGGTAGAGAAATTGACCTCCATTGGTCCAAAACGTCAAAAGTCTTTAAGACCTTTTCCAAATATATATCCTGAAAATTTAGAATTCAGATTTATTCAATGGGTACAGGAAAAGAATGCAATTGTTCAGCTTGAAAAATGGCCTAGCTTCTTTAGTATGGAGAAACCATTGCCACATTCCACACAAAGCCCTCATTTATAAAATGTGACAAAAAAATGAAAATGAACCCAACAGCATGCATCCAATAGCACAGATGAATCACACATATGCAAGGTTAACTGAAAGAAGACATGTATAAGAATCCATTTATATAAATACAGTTCCATTTACATTAAAAAGTTTAAATAGCCGAAGGTACACTATAGTGACAAATATCAGAATAGCAGTTACCTTAGGAGAAAGGGGGAATGACTGGGAGTAGTCCCAAGGAGTTTGGTGATATTGGAAACATTCTACTTCTTGATCCAGGTGGAAACTCCACAGATGTGTTCACTTTGTAAAAACTCATCAAACTGTACCCTTACAATATGTACATTTTTCTGTCTAGATGTCATATCTCAATTAAAATGTTTATACACACACAACACAAGCAAGCAGTAAAAGAAATTACCTGCACTCCAATCTTCTCTTCATGGTAGGTGCTCTTAACCCTTTCATGTGATCTAAAAACAAAAGAATCAATCAAAACATTTTTCCAGAAGATTTCTTAGCACGAGGAAACTGAGTCACCTGTTCTTTAAGCTTCCTTTTAAGAACCTATCTGAGAAGTTCACTTTTAAAAAAGACTGATTCTTCAGGCTACTAACTCTTTCACCTGTGAATGAATAATCTGAGAACAGATCAGGAACCTGAAGTCGACCAGCAACAGCAAGTTAAAAAGAATATGGTCCCTTGCATCTTAGGGCCAAATCAAAATCACTTTGAGCAGCCATAAGAAAGAGTAGTCACAATCTCATTCAGAACATTTCCAGCCCTTCCATTAATATCTTCTTCATTTTAAGCAAACTATTCTTCAGGCCATGCTCTGTGTGATCCATTCAATTTTCATCCCTTGTTATTCCACCTAGAAGGAGGGCAAACTGGCTCACACAAGAATGAGAATAGTTTCATGATCTCCTCACCCTACTCTGACTGCCTAACTGAAAGGTGGGGGTATTATCACCCACACACGATTGCTCCATTGCACTCCAAAAAATGGATACAGAAAGAGGATATTTAAAGAAACATAAGATTTACACCAAATATCAGACTAAATAGATAGTAGTCCTGGTGTGGCTCTGTGGGTTCATGCGCTGGAATGCAAAGTCGGTTTGAACTGTGAAGTTGGTGGTGCAAACTCTTAACCCCTCCTCAGATACCTATACAGGGAGTCAGAACCAACTCAACGGCACTTAACAATAACAACAACATATTTTAATATGTCTTGAATCTTTAGCATGCAAAAGCCTAGATAACAATGACCAAACATTTCTAAATTACTTCGTTACAGTAAACCAGTTCTAATTATTCTAACCACTTCCCCTCCTCCCCCTACAAGGAGCTAGCTCTGATAGAATAGTGGTTACAAGTTGGGCTATCAAGGTCAGCAGTTTGAAACTGCCAGCTGTTCTGCGAGGGAGAAAGATGAGGCTTACTGCTCCCGTACGGATTTACAGCCTTGGAAACCCTATACAGGGTCGCTTTGAGTCGGAACCAATTCCATGGCATATTACTACCACCACCATCCCCCTACAGACACATAGCCACACCCTCAATTTATCCTTAAACCCAGTGAACACAGGGCAGTTCACTCAATCGTCCAGTCTTTAGATGCCCTGGGTAGGTCCTAGAGCAGGACACTCAGTTCAGTAAGCAGGGTAGCTGAAGAGTCTGCAGCATGAGTCAGGACTCCGCCCCATGCTCCCAAACTGACGGCAGACAGCACACTGGAGGCTTTTTATCCAGATACCCTATCCCAGCAGCCCTAGACAAGAGAACCTGCATGAGTTTACACCGTGCAACGGGAACTGCACTCACAGGCTCTTTTCCAGGGCCTTTTTCCTTTTCATTGGCCAGAAGAAATCATCAAGTTGCCCCCTTCTGGATCACTATCTTAGACCATGAGCTGGCTCTCCTCTTGTTTCCCAAGCCTCATCAACACTAGTAAAGCCTACCCTGAGTGACCTCTAAAGAACCCTGGTGGCACAGTGGTTAAGCACTCAGCTGCTAAGCGGAAGGTTGGTGGTTTGAACCCACCCAATGCCTCCATAGGAGAAAGATGAGGCAATCTGCTTCCATAAAGATGACAGCCTTGGAAATCCTTTGTAGCAGTTCTACTCTGTCTTACAAGCTCACTATGAGTTGGAATCAACTTGATGGCCAACAGGTTTGGAGTGGAGCACTGGGTTATAAATAGGTTTCAGGGGTCCAGAGCCCACTCCAATTAATCAGAACGTGATGATAATGTGAGTATGTGAATTTTTTTTCTAGAAAGAGTTCATGTTGTTGTTGTTAAGTGCCGTCGAGTCGATTCTGACCCATAGCAACCCTGTATAGGGTTTCCAAGGAACAGCTGGTGAGCTTGAACCACCAACCTTAGCAATTCAAATGACTTTGCAGTCTGGTGCATTAACCCACAGAGCCACACCAGCACTTTGCCAAATATAAAAAGAAGTCTGTGTCCAAAAAGGTTAAAAACCACTGGCACACAATGTGAGAAAACCCCAAAAGCGGAAGTTAAATTCTCACCCTTGATGAGATTACACCCTGGTTAAGTACATGTGATTAGAGAAAAAGTTATTATGAACTGCTCGTTAGAAGGAATCAATTTCTTACTTAATATGCAGAATAATGATGGTTTTACAAGTGTTTTTTGACAAAGTATTCCTCCAAGCTCACTATTCCTAAAACCAAACCCAGAGAAAAAGAGAAAGACCCTCAGCGAGATGGACTGGCAAAGGGGCAGCATCAATGGGCTCAAGCGTGGCAACAGTAATGAGGGTGACCCAGGATTGGACAGTGTTTTAGTCTGTTGTGCATAGAGTCACTATTTGTCGGTACGGACTCGATGGCACTTAACAACAACAACATCAAATTTTAACTTGAGAGCCTCAACACAAAAGTAGAGACACTCTTATTTCTAGTACTCTTAAACATCCAGAAAAAGATTTTTAATGAAAATCAAAACAAAAAATATTATTCTCAAGCAAAAGCAGAAAGATCTGACAGCGCTCCTTGGCAACTAGAGAGAGGTTGTCTAGCTCTGCCTCGTGACAGAGAGACAGTGGGTGACTTTAATCAGGGAAGAAAAGATATGTCCCCAAAGCAATAACTTGTAAGATCTGTCCCTGGGTGATTTACTGACAGTAGGTTTCTAATCAAACTGTTGAAAACTCTATCCCATCCAGAGGCACCTTGAATGAAAGATTGGTCTGGTGACCTACTTCAGTCTTTGAAAACCCTATGGAACACAGTTCAACTCTGGCACACATGGGGGTCACCATGAGTAGGAATTGACTCTGCAGCAACTGGTGGTAAAGTAAAAGGGATCGATTCCACAAGCAAGACAATATTTAATCTTCACACCAAGCTTGTGAGGACGGACAGGGCTTTGCTATCTGTAATTTACTTTAAAATACTTGGGAAGTGCATTACACTAGGTGCCGCATGTATGTTATATCAGAGTCTGTTACACTAGGTACCATTAGTAATCCCTAGAGGGAATTCACATCCCAAAGGGGTAGGGGGCAGTTGCTATTTCTCAAGCTACTCAGAAAGTCCACACTTCAAAAGGCAGTCCTGGTGTGGCGCTGTAGGTTAATACGCTGGACTACAAAGTCTGTTTGAATCGCAAGGTCGGCAGTTCAAGCTCACCAGCTGCTTCTCGGAAACCCTATACTGGGTCACTATGGGTCAGAATCGACTTGATGACACTTAACAACAATCTCTAATCAATGCTAAAGGCTGTACTAACTAGCATAATAAATATCAAAATGGTTTTCAATGGTAGAATTAGTGATTTAGTTATAAGTTGGGCTACTAACCTCAAGGTTAGCAGTTCAAAACTACCAGCTGTTCCTCGGGAGAAAGATGAGGCTTTCTGTTCCTGTAAAGATTTACAGCCTTGGAAACCCATAGCAGGTTTGCTATGAGTCGGAACGGATTTCACGGCACATAACCAACCAACCAATTTACTGGAGTCCTGATATGATGCTGTGACTTAATGCTCTGGACTGCAAAGTCGGTTTGAACAAGAAGATCAGCAGTTCAAATTCACCAGCTGTTCCTTGGAAACCCTATACAGGGTCACTATGAATTAGCATCGACTTGCCAGCATTTAATAACAGTGACAAGTAGTGTAGTGGTTGCTAGTCAGTCAGTCAGACTGCTAACCTCAAGGTCAGCAGTTCGAAACTACCAGCTGTTCCACAGGAGAAAGATGAGGCTTGCTGCTCCTATAAAGATTTACAGCCTCAGAAACCCTATGCAGGGTCACTATGACAACTTCACAGCACACCACCACCACCAAAACAGGTTTTAAAAATGAGCAAAGGTTGTGAAATTAGTGGTATTCAAACTCAGGGAATTAGCTAAAATATTTTAGAGACCGTGTCTATTCTCATTGGGCTCCTGGTGTTTTCAGCACTGGACTGAAAACCACAAGGTCGGTAATTCAAACCCACCAGCTGCTCCTCGGAAACCGTATCCAGAGTCGCTGAGTCATAACCTACTCTATGGCACTTAAGAACAACAACTCTTTACAGTGTTGGAGAATATTAAAAGTACCATGGACTGCCAGAAGAACAAACAAATCTGTGTTGGAAGAAGTACAGCCAGAATGCTCCTTAGATGCCAGGATGACAAAATTTCATCTCCCATGCTTGGGACATATTATCAGGAGAGACCGGTTGCTGGAGAAGAACATTATGTTTGGTAAAACGGAGGGTGAGTGAAAAAAAGACTCCCAACGAGATGGATTGGCACAATGGCAGCAGCAATGGGCTCAAGCTTAACAATTGTGAGGATGTCGCAGGACCAGGCAGTGTCTCATTCTGTTTTGCACTGGGTTACTATGAGTCAGAACCAACTCGACGGCACCTAACAACAACAACAGTTTAACTCAAGAAGTCTAGGAAAAGCAATAGATAAATTAAAGGAAAGCTGAAAGAAGGAAATCATTTTGAAAGAAATAAAAACAAAGGATCTAAAAACAGAAATTTTAGAGCTCCTTATGTCATAGGGTAAAGGACTCTGATGGCACAGTGATTAAACACTCAGCTAATGTGGAGGGTCAGAGAAAAAAAGGAAGATTCCCCAGCAAGATGTATCGGCAAAGTAGCAGCATCAATGGGCTCAAGTGTGGCAACAATGGTGAGGTTGGCCCAGGATCCGGCAGTGTTTCGTTTTGTTGTGCACAGGGTCGTTAAGAGTCGGTACTCATTCAATGGCACCTAACAACAACAACTAAAATGTCAGTGATTAGAACCCACCAAAAAAAAAATCAGCTTCCATAAAGATTGTTGTTGTTGTTAGTACCATCAAGTTGGTACTGACTCATGGCGAACCTATTTACAGGGGATTCCAAGGAGCAACTGGTGGGTTTGAACCACTGATCTTACATTAGCAGTCCAGTGCTTATCCTACAGTGTCACACAGGGACTCATAAAGATTACAGCCTTAGAAATTCCATGAGACAGTTCTACTCTGCCTTATAGGTTTGCCATGAGTTGAAATTGAACAACCACACAAAAAAACTAACACTCTATCCTCATGTGGTGGTTGGTGAACACCTGGTAAACCTTCAAGCCCATATCATTAGGAATGACAAATCAATTGCCAAGGAGTGTATTTCTACTTGGCACCACATGTGTGTCAGGAGAGAAATGTGTTCTAGAGGGCTGATTGTTTAACAGTAGATCGCCAGGCCTTTTTTCCAGGCCACCTCTTAGTAGATTCTAATTTCCAACCTTTCAGTTAGCAGTTGAGCAGTTTGCTTCGCCTAGGGGCTCCAAGAAGGATGACATTGTAGATTTAATTCCTAAATAGCCATGCAACTCGCTGTGAGAGTTTAGCATTCTGGTGGCTTGCTGCCATCTTGCCTCTACACTAAAATGGACCTTTCCATACTGGAAGTAGACAGAACATCTAAAAGGAGAGGGAACTTGCACTTCGTGCCACTTAGGCAGATTGTTTGAGTGTCGATGTTTCTGTGTGTGCCTACTTATTAACAATTGCTGGGATGTCTGGCAGAATTTGATGCGCATCGTATTTCCTTTCTAACATGGTAGTGAGGATGTGGCGGGAAGACTAATACAGGCCCCTCTGATGACTACCACTAATAGTTGCCCCTGAGCAAATAGATCTGACAGTGCAAACCAGGCAGACGTACAACTGTAGGGCCCTGTCTTGCTGCTGTTGCTGTTAAGTGACTTCAAGTCAGTTCCGACTCACAGGGACCCTGTATAGGATTTCCGAGGTGCAGCTGGTTCAAACCGACCTTACTTGCTGTCCAGTGGTTATCCTACAGCGCCATACCAGGACTCCACGGCCCATTTTACAGATGATGAAATAAAGCCTTAGAGAGGGTGAAGAGCCAGAATGGGACAAGGTGTAGCTCAATACCCCTCCCCTGGCTCCGGGGCCCGTCGCACCTACGGTCTCTAGCCCACTGGGCGATTTCCCCGCGGGGCGAAAGCACTAACAGCCCCTGGCATCACGGGCAGTGGGCAGCGTTCACTCACCCTTATGGCAGTGGGACAGGAAGTAAGCACGCGCCCTCAGGTTCTCCCTGTCGAAGCGATCTATGGAGATGGTTGGATACTCGGCCATCTGTCCCCCAAAAGAACTCATAGTGTCGCCCAGTCTCTACAAACTGGACCCCAAGCCGACAGTAGAGGAAGATCTGGCGGTAGCAAATCACATCTCCACTTCCGGGAGTCCGCCCGCCACTTCGCCATTGGCCGGCCAAGGCGCAGCCTCGTCCAATCAAAGAAGTTCTGTGGTCGGAGGGGCGGTGCTATGGAATGTCTAGTCAAGTTCCTGCTGCGCGCAACCTTTGAATTTAAAAAAACCCGAGAGGAGTGCTCCCGGCGCTGCCCTGCAGTGAGCCGGCTTCTATGCCTAGACTTGGAGAGGTTGGGTGAAATGGAGGGTTCGGATCGAGGGGACTGGTTCCTGGCGAAAGCCTCGGCAGAGCAATGTCGTCGCAGAAGCTGAAACACCCAATAGCAGCTGTTTCGCTTTAGAATCAGACTGCGTCCCACTTTCTGCTTTTCTATTCCACTTCCAGTTTTCTCGCCTTTAAAATGGGAATCATAATTTCTACCTCGTACCATGACCATGATAAAATTATATCTACAGAGTAAATAAACAATACCCGATGATCACAATTTAAATGCATAATCATAGATTAAGATGCAAGGATGCCTTCGCTGCTAGCCTTTCTCCACTTTTGAACCTTTTTTTTTAGAACATTGAAAGGATGTGTAAAAGATACGATAATAGAGAGAGACTTGGTCTATAATTTCTTAACCACCAAAACCACTTTTATAAGATTAAAGTATTAAGATTTACCAGATAATTATAGTAACATTTATTGTGCCCCTACCTAAAAATTCTTAAATGCCACTGTTATTAACTGCAAACAGCTCAAACAATTTGAGGTCCTGCTTTGTGCACAGCACTGTGACAAACCTTACATGGATGACTAAGATGTGCCTTTAAGTTGTTTTCAGTCTTGAAGTCGGTGGAAAGAGGACACGTTTGCAAAACATGGTAAGCTTTCACAGAGATACAAAATAATATGGGAATAAATCGAGGGATGATGAGTTCTGCCCAGCGCAATAAAAAATCAGAATACCATTCTCAGAGAATTTGTTTATATGAGTATATTAGCATGTTCCTGCAGCCAGTTTACTCAACAGTCCCTTTTCAAATGCAGGTTGTTGTTGTTGTTAGATGCCGTGGAGTTGGTTCCGCCTCATAGCGACCCTGTACAGGGTTCCCAAGGCTGTAAATCTTTACGAGAGCAGAACGCCTCATCTTTCTCCCACGGAATAGCTGGTAGCTTCGAACTGCTGACCTTGAGGTTCACAGCCCGATTTGACACCACTACTCTACCAGAGCTCCTTTTCAAATACAGGTATCCTTGTCTAAAAGGAGCGCTGGTGACACAGTGGTTAAGTTCTCAGCTGCTAATCAAAAGGTAGGCTGTTGGTACCCAGTAGTCACTGCAGGACAAGAATGTGGCAGTCTGTTTCCTAAAGAGTTCAGCCTTGTCCTGTGGGGTTGTTACGAATCATAATTGACTTGACCACAGTGGGTTTGGTTGTGTTGTTGATACTATACTTTTAAAAGGAATAAAGAGTTATAGTAGGAATTATGTACTTAGATAAATTCATAAGCATAAAATCATATATGCAATATTACAATTGTTTGTTTTTTGAAATAAAAAAAAGATGCTGTGCTTACTACATGTTGCCTATATGGATGTGAATCCTTTGGGACACCATTCTGGCCTCACACTGCTGGTCTCCGTCATCTGTATCTTTAGTCTGGTTTGTCTTTGTCCTGTTTGCTGTTGTGTTGTTAGGTGCCCTCTGGTCATTTCTTACTCATAATGATCCTATGCACAACAGAACAAAACACTGTTGTGTCCTGTGCCATCCTAATAAGTTGTCATGTTTGAGCCCATTGTTGCAGCCCCTGTGTCAGTCCATCTTGTTGGGAATCTTCCTCTTTTTCACTGACCCTCTACTTTGCCAAGCATGATATCCTTCTCTAGGGAATGGTCTCTCTTGATAACTTGTCCGAAGTGTGTGATAATAATTTCACACAAACAGATTTGTTTGTTCTTTTTGCAGACTATGGTATTTTCAGTATTCTTCTATGATGCCATAATTCAAATGCATCAATTTTTCTGTGTTCAGACTTTTGCAAACACTGTGCCTTGGGGTCAGTAACACCTTAGTCCTCAAAGTGAGGTCTTTGCTCTTTAACAGTTTTAAAGAGGTGTTTTGCAGCAGAGTTGCCTAATGCAAATCCTTTGATTTCTTGACTGCTGCTTCCATGAGTGTTGAATGTGGATCCAAGCAAAATGAAGTCTTTGACAACTTCCATGTTTTCTCCTTTTATCATGTTTTTATGGCCAATTGTGAGGATTTTCATTTTCTTTACATTGAGGTACAATGCATACTAAAGGCTGTAATCTTTTTAATCTTTTATCTTCATTAGTAAATACTTCAAGTCCTCTTTGCTTCCTGCAAGGTTTTATCATCTGCATATTGCAAGTTGTGGGTGAGCCTTTCTCCAATCCTGAATCCTGATGCCATGTTATGCTTCATATTATCCAGTTTTGGGGGTTATTTGTTCAGCATACTGATTAAGTATGGTGAAAGATACAACCCCGGCACACACCTTTCCAGATTTTAAACCATTCAGCATCCCCTTGTTCTGTTTGGACGACTGCCTCTGTGTACAGGTTTCTCGAGCACAATTAAGAGTCCTGGAAATTTCCATTCTTCTCAATATTATCCATAATTTGTTATGATACACAGCCAAATGCATTTGCATAGTCAATAAATCACAAGTAAACCATTACTTAAGATTTAATAAAGGCACATCCATAAAATACATTTGAATTTGCAGTCTTTTCTCTCATAATAAAAACAATACGTTTTACTGGTAGATTGGATATACAGGCATACCTCGCTTTATTGTGCTTTGCTTTAGTGCACTTTTTACAAACTGAAGGTCTGTGACAACCCTGAGCTGAGCAAATCTACTGGTGCCATTTTCCCAATCTGAGCTCACTTTGTATCTCTGTGTCACATTTTTGGTAATTCTCACAATATTCCAGATTTTTTTTACAATACTATTGCACACTTATTAGACTACAGTGGGACTCACTGTATCACAGTGGTCTGAAACCAAACCCTCATATCACTGAGGTTTGCCTGTAGTTGTTGTTAAGTGCCATCAAGTGGATTCCGACCCATAGCAACCGTGCATAGGGTTTCCAAGGAGCAGCTGGTAAGCTTGAACCACTGACCTTGCAGTTCAAATGACTTTGCAGTTTGAGGCACTAGCCCACAGCGCCACACCAGGACTCATCTGCCTGTAAGAGGGTCAGTGAAAGTGGGGATCCTAGGTGCCATCAACTGAGATGCAGACGACGGTGCAAAGAGCATGTTTCACTGATTAAACGATTGACTTAGAAGAAAGTCACACCTTTGGACAAGTGGATGTTGAACACACTGAGTGCCCAGATACAGTTTAAAGGTGCATCTGAGATGAAATAAATCTGGGAACTTGCCAGCAAATGGTATTTTAAGCATAATGATTCAGATGTTAGAAAAAATATTAAAAGCTCTAGCTATCATTTATTGTAGGTTTACCAATTGCCAGACTACGCTTGATAGATTAATCTTCACAGAATAAATAAAAGAGGGACAGTTAGGAGGTAAGTATTGTCAGGGGCGATAAACGCGATGGCCAACTGCTTTCTCAGGAAATTCTTTCTGGGACAAAAGCAGCAGCAAATAATACATTTCACCTCTACCTCTGGTTAGGGAGTCCTGGTATGTTACTGTGGGATAAGGACTGGACACGGTCAGTTCAAACCCAACAGCTGCTTCTCGGAAACCCTATACAGGGTTGCCATGAATCGGAACCACCTCAGCGGCACTTAACAACAACCGCCTCTAGTTAAGAGTATGCCATTGTAAGGTGCTCATCCCAGAATCACCACTGACTCCGCGGATTACTCCTCCCCCCCACCCCTTCCAGCCCTCGCGCCAGCGCATAGACTCCATTCGCTGGGGGCGGGGTCAGGACGGGCCCTAGGGCGGGGCCACTGCGTTGCTAGGAGACGGAGGATCGCAGAGGCCGCGACAGTTGGCCTTTCGCGGGTCCAGCCCAAGGATCCTGAGGGCACACCGCGAGGACCACGACCCCCACCCGAGAGCTCCTGGGAGCTCCGCCTCTGGTCTTTAAAAGAAGATAACCACGGAGACCTAGACCTCAGATTTGGGTAAATGCGTCGCTTTTGGGTCTGACCGCCCGCCCCTCCTCTACTCCTGGCCCTAGCCCCGCCCCGGAAATTTAAGTCCCGCCTCTTCCGCCTCGTTTTCTGGGCTCCTGACTGCCTATCTGCTTTGTCTTCTGTTTTCAAGTTTTCTTTGTCTAGTGCAGCGTTTTTATTTGGCGCCCTCTGAATTTCAGAATCTGATCTTGCCAGTTTCGTGCCGCTATCGGCCAAGTGACCACGACTCTGAGGCCACTTTTGAACTTCCTCCCATGAGTCAATTGTTTAATCGCTAGCATCGAAGCAGTTCCGGTGTGGCGCTGTAGGATAAACGCTGGACCGCAAGGTCGGTTTCAACTGCAAGGTCTGTGGTTCAAACCCACTAGCTGCTCCTGGGAAACCCTGTACAGGGTCACTATTAATCGGAACCGACTTGACGGCACTTAACAACAACAGCTTATAAAATATTTTTTTTTCATTCACACTAAACAGATTTTATGTCAGATACAGTTGGCAAATTGTTGCACAAAGAAAATTTGTGAAACCAGGAATGGCATGTCAGTCACCTGTGGGACCCTGAAAGGAATTTACACTTCGCAAATACAGATTTGCACCTTTGAACCAAGGCTCATAGGGCATATTTTTGGATTGTTTTTGCTGAATAACCCCCAAAATTGGGAAGGACAATGTGAGGCCTTTATATTACACAATCAGTCTAATATTTTGCCCTTTTACCGATCTGGAAACAGCTGTTCAATGACTTGGCCGAGATTACATGTTGCTAGGTCACATCCTACTGCCTTTGGGGAAAGAATAAAATGGGGAAAGA